ATGTCCACCCCAACCCCATCCTTGGAAATGGAGGCCCCTTCAGTCCTTTCTTGCCTAGGACCAGGACAGAGGCCCCTACTCCTAGTTTTATAGGATCTGAGATACTCGTGAATGAATGCATAACCTCACCTTTGGAATAATGTAGATGGAAGCCATTCTCTAAGGCCTTGCATGCAACAGGAGCTGGAACCCAACCTTTTCCCAAGCCTGGCCACAGGGTGGCACTTGATCTCTAAGACCCCTCCCCTCAAAACTGAGCAAGCTCTTTTTAGGCCTGTTGCAGCCTGTTCCCACACCTGCCCATTGCCTTTAACTCTCTCCCTTTTTCCTTCCTTAAAAAAGGAAAATGTGAGAGAGATGGTATAAGGGAACAAATCTTCCGGAGATAGTACAATTTAGGTATACTGTTAACACCTTACATGGCCATGGTTCTGCCCCACTCCCCAACCCTGGCTCTGCTGTAGCAGTAGCAGAGGCAGTTACCAGGACAGTCCATTTGGGCAAGGTATGGAACACTTGGGTTGGAGCCATCTTGGTCCCAGCACATGCTGCATGAGTAGATGAGCCTCAGTATGTGCCCCCTGGCATCACATACCAAGGGCTTCATGGTGCAGGACCCGGACAGCATGGAGTACATACTGGCTAGCTAACAGGGAGATGTGGGAAGAACACCCACATCAGAGGTGACAGGGACAGCGACAACACAGGCAGCTTAAGTTTGCTGCTCAGTGTAGCAGACACCCTCTGGGAATGCAGCACCTTCCTCTCATAGGCAGGTAGACATCTAGAAGATATTATTGTAAGATGTACCATTTCTGGGTCCCACAATCCATGCTGTGAGAAAGTAGGAGGCCTTTCTTAAGACTTTCTCCTGGACTAGTCCCCCCCCCCCAACACACATACACTTTGGTTAACTTGAAAGCAAGAAACCCCACCTTGTCCCCACTCCCATACTCCCAGCCTTACCAGTGTGAGAGAAGTTAGGCTTTGGGAGACTCGGTATTCTGGAAATAAGTACCTCTAGTTTCTTTCAACCTGCTGGCAGTCTGGGAGGAAGAGCTCAAAGCCTCTAGTTCCCCAGGTTTCCAGGAATATGTGAAATGAGCCCTGGCAAATATAATCTGGGCTGAGCTAGAGGGAAAGTAATGAAGAAAGCATGACTGAGCATTTTGCTTCAGCTCAGCTGTGCAAGCTCAAGGTTCATTGGCTCTCACAGGAGGGAAAGCCTGGGCTGGAGAGAGGAAGGAGCAGCAAAAGAGACTGGTGTCCTGTGAATCCCACAGGGAGGTTGAGAGCTGGGTGGCACTGTATGGGAAACTAATCCTGGCACGTGTGAGCAAGCATCCCAATAGATGGGAGCTGGAGACTACAAGATTGCAGCAATCAGGCCCTGGCCTGCACATAAACCAGGTAGGCCATTTCTAGAGCTGGAGGGAATGGCCTAGCTGCCCCATGCCAGAGAGCCAATCCTCTGGCAGGGAGAATCCAGGGGCTCCAGAGCCCACTATGTTGTGTTTTCCTGTCCAGATCTGCCCATACAGGACCCAGGGACATGGGCAGGTCACCCAGGCAGGTACAGAGGACATTATTCAACCAGCTACAGTGACCCCAGGATGCAGAGTAGCCTTGGCTGCAGAGAGTGGGTACACTTAGCTTGGATGTGAGAAGACTATATTGTAGCCCCAGCTGCCCTGTGTTCTCCTGGCCCTTTCTAGCCCAGCTGGGCCTGAGCAAGACTGGCTTGCAGACTTAAGGGCCATTAAAGGCCAGGCCTCAGAGCTTGCCCTGCCTCTGCCTAGCTCTGTGTGTTGGACAAGAAACAACCTGAATCTCAAGTCTCTTGCCCATGACATGATGACTGGTGGTGGTATCTAGCCCATAGCTCTTGTGAGGACCACATGGAGACACAGACATGACAAAGATTCAGAGTAAAACAGGTCAGCTGCACCCCTCCCCAAGCTTCCAGGTGGGGATCATCTCCCAGATACAGAACTCCTCTGCCTGTGTTACTGAGTGGGGCCACGAGGACTAGCATTAAACCTATGGCCAGGAAGGAAGGAGGTTATGGAGCAACACCACTGACCTAAGGGGGAAGACTTGAGCAAGCTCCTTCATAAGTCGGAGCATTCTAGCTACGCCATCAGCTCTAGAGAGGGATTGCCAAGAAAGGTTTAAAAATAGAAAACAGCAGAGTAGAACTGAAAGCAAACTGCTGAAGGACTGGTCAGTTTGTAAGATTCATGCATTCATGTATTTTGCAAAAGCTTGAAATAATTGTCTGCAGTTGCTAGGGTTGCTCTGAGGTTTTGTTTCTGGGGATTTGTTGTTGTTGTTGTTCTTTTTTCTTTTTGAGACAAGAGTCTCCCCTGTAGTCCCAGCTGGCCTGGCACTCACTATATAGAACAGGCTGGCTGGCCAGTTTGAACTCGTGGAGATCCACCTGCCTCTGCCTCCCGAGTGCTGGGACTAAAGGCATGTGCCATCACACCAGACGGTTGCTCTGAGGTTTAAAAAAGTGGCCACCAGTTACTTACCAGCCATTTAGAATAGGTCCTCAGGGGAAGAGAAACTGATGTCTGCACAAGTTCAGGCTGATTTCCAACTCCATTCTGAAGAAGAGCAGAGTACTAGGCTCATGAGGCCTCCAGTCATGTGCCCCACTTGACTGGGCTATCCTGTGTTTGCTTTAACACTTTGTGTCACAGTGCAGTTTAGGGTTCATCCTGCAGTTGCATATTGTGCAAGTATTTTTAAAAAAGAATTCCTGGTTACGCCTTTGAGGCTCAGTTTTGAATCCTTACTGGAGTGATGGCTTAGCTGCATCTGAAGAAACACGCCTCCCCACAACAGAGGACATGCTTCCAGGTTTATCAGCTAACTGGGGCTCACCAACTCTTGTTGTCTTGCGTAGGACTATTCTGCAGTGTCCTTAGGAATGGATATTCCTGGGAAGACGAATGTCCTCTGAAGTAGTGGAGGAAAGTGGTAGGTGAACCCAGCTGCCGCCCTTCATCCATGCATCCTTGGCAGTGGCAGGGTTGGCTGCACCCAGACTGCTTAGCACAGTTGCTGCTGTTACTCTTCTCTGGTCCTGGGAGGTAAGTGTGAGGCCTGAGGTTTATACCAGATCCTTCTTACCCTCCCTTTCTTTCTCTCTCCAGTGTATGTGGTGGAAGACCAAAGAAGAGATGACCTAGGCCCATCCACCTGCCTCACAGCCTGCTGGACTGCTCTCTGTTGCTGCTGCCTCTGGGACATGCTCACCTGACCAGCCAGCCTTACTGCTCTGCCACTTGGTGCCGCCTCCAATAGGTGTGCCTGCCCCCATCTCTTCTGATTGCTGTAATAAACAACTAGCTCTGCGCAGACACCTCTACCTTCTATACTGTGGGGTTTCAGATTAGTGAGGGTTGCTGCTGTTTAATTCAGTGACTTGATCTTTTTAATGTTCAAAATCTATTTCTTATTGATCTTTAACAAATGTGCTAAATGATTTTCCTTTTTATTTTTTGGCCAAAGGCTTAGTTACAAAATATATATTTATAATTTTTAAATTATACATTCAAGGTAATGGCAACATGTAACACACCACTGGATGATTTCTCTGCTCACACCCTGTATGTTTCAATAAATCCATCCAAAACCCAGTTGTGTGAATTATTCCAGATCATCTAGCCACCTTGAGTCTTGTGCTACTGGACTGTTTTCTTCTGCCCGTGAAGACTGTAAGATTTGGGCATGCCAGCTGACCACTGTCCGGTCTAAGAAGGAACTTCTTTGTCATTCAGGCTACTTCCTAACAGTGGGTGCCCGAGGTCCCTCAAAGATGGTCTCAGATCGGTGCATTCACCAACAGTACAGACACGCTTTAGTCCAGGGCTTTGGAAAGGGGGCTTCTTGGTGGCTGGGATGCCCCAGGCCTGTTCTTTAGAAGCACAGGAATTCGGGACAACAGATCAGAGGTTTCCAACTGTTATTGCTTCCATTCCCTCCTCATCAGCCAACCCGTTCATCTCATCTCTTTTGGCCACAAGGTGGTGCTAGGCTGCCAAAGAGCAAGTCAGATTCTCCTTAGCTGGTGAGCAAGAGGACAGACCTCTCTACCTGCTGCCCTTCTAAAGCTGAGAGCTGTGCTGGGGGTCTGCAGAGGGGTTGTGGGGAGGGCAGAGGGGTAGGGGAAGGTCATGATCCAGCACATGGGAGGTGAAGACTGAAAGATCAGGAGCTCAAAGTCCTTGGCTACACAGTAAGTTTGAGGCCAGCTAGTCAAGACCCTGCTCTAAAAAAAACACCCATAATTTTGTAGCATATCACACTGGAATCAATGCTCCCACCTAGCTCAGTAACCCAACCTCCAGAGCCCATGCAGTGGCCAAATGCAAGAAAGCAAGTAGGAAGGGATGCGTTCTGAGCATTTACTGTTCTTGTTCCAGATATCCATATCATTTAGTTTAATAACGGCATTTAGCTGACTTGCAATAAAAGTCCTAAAAGCTAGCTGGGCATAGTGGTGCATGCCTTTAATCCCAGCACTTGAAAGGCAGAGGCAGGTGGATCTCTGTGAGTTCAGGGCCAGCCTGGTCTACATAGCAAGTTCCAGGCCAGCTGGGGCTACAGGGAGACCCTGTCTCAAAAAGACCAAAAAAAAAAAAAAAATCCTGAAAGCTTAATAATTGGCGGTCCTGAGTATGGGCAAGCCGACACCAATGCCCCCGAGCCATTAGGAAACAGGACCATAGTGTCCATCTTCTAACACTGGCCAGAGACAGCCAGCCTTGGAGGTGCTGCTTGTCATTCAACTTCATTTTGGGAATTTTGTGGAGGAAACAAAGGAATCTTGAGGCGGACTGCCACTGTTCCCTTCAGCTATAAACTTTTCTTCCTTGTACTACATGGAGGCCCAAAAGTCACCTGTCAGAGGACCAGTAAAGAGAGAAAAGGAACCAGAACACAGGAAGACCCACTACCTCTCACCCTTTCTTAGCTCAAGAAAAGTAGACTTCACAGAGCAAGACAGCCTTTTTATTGGTCTAACCCACATGCTTAGTGGCAGGCCTTGAAAGTCTTCATATGCTTTCACTCCAGTCTTCCCTCTCCTGGGAGTTCTGGTTTGCCCAGGAGAGGAGTGTCCTGGGCAGGGGTGGTGGACAAACAGGGAAAAATACATAGGTGGGACCTGAAGGGGGTTCAGGGAGGGAATGTAGGGCTTCTAGACCATCCAGACAAAACGTCCATCTGGACAGAGGAAGGCTGTTACCCCACCAGGCCCCTCTGCCTTGCCAGGATGGGAGGGGCCTGGAGGGAAGCACTTTCCCTAGCAGCATCTACTGTGCCCTTCGTGCCATCAGCATCTCACGGATGTTGTCCTCGGCTTCCTTAACGCTCCGCTCCAGGTAGGACTTTTTTTGCTGTAATATGAGAAAGAAGGGTTAGGACCAGGGTGAGCAGGCCAGGCTGGCGGCTACAGCCTTTACAGCCAAAGGTTCTGGTGACTTCTCTGATACATGACTCCACAACATGTTGACTGGAGAAGCCAGGTATGCACACCTACCTGCCACCCATAGGCAGTGGGAGGAGACGGCCTGGTGTAGGAAGCAGAAGTGCTCTGGAAGGCAGGTGGCAGCACTCTTCCTCCAAAACGAAGTAGGCTTTGAAAAGCAGGTATCTTGGTAGGTAAGGTTATACCAGACAATGGCCAGGAAATTCCAAGACAAAACTAAACTCCTGCTCCACAATGGACTGTCTCCTCTCAAAGTCTTCCATGGCCTGAGCCAGGTGCCTATAGCCCCAGTGTGTGGGATACACAGCATGCACCATGCTGTCCAGTGAGCCCGGCGGCCGCCCTGAGCCCTGTGCAACCAATCGCACACCTCACTCAGGCAGATGAGTCAGGGTAGAATCTGCTTTTCTAATGAAACTGCTGCTGCCAGCAATCCAGGACACAGTGACACACAAGTAAAGCAGACCTTTTGGAAGTTTACCTCCTGTCCCGTCTGGGTCCTAAATTTTAAAATCTCATTTAACTACTTTCAGAAGCTACATCTGGACCAGGATCCCAAAGATTAGTCAAAGGAAATGATGTGTGTACATTATTTGTGCTCACCCCAAAAGTACGGTGGCTTTACCACAGGCCCCTGTCCTAGGGGTATAGTCATAGCTGTATTCACACTTGGCAGAGATGAATGAACGCACCCCATTAAAGGAATATTCAGAATCATTTCCTTCCTGCACATATGACTGAGGGAGCCACACTGGAACTTTAACACAAAGCTGGTCAAGTCACCAGCGCCCTCCTCTAAAGCTTCCCCACTTCATCTATATGACCAGGGAAAACTGGGGGCAGAAGGCAGCTGGGCCACCCATCACTGTGCTCCCAGTGACACTACAGCCTGCTTGACAGGCCCTTACTTGCTTGGGAACTGACGGTCAGCACTAACACAGGCAAAAAAACCTATTCCTCCTGGTGTTCACACTTGCATCCAGCCTCTCTGATGCATCATCTGCATGTCTCTGCCTTAAACTTTACCCACCACCACCTGATAGTTACTAAATGATATATTCAGAGGCTCCTCCCTGGCAAAGCCAGACACACTGGTATCAGCTCTTGTGTGAACCTCTGTCTCCAGCCTGTCCTTCCATTCAAATTTCCTCTTGGGTAGGAAGAGCATGGTCCCTTGACTCATCTCCCATCTGCCAACTTACACCCACTTCCTTACAACACAAGAGCGCAATAAAACCCATCATGACTGCGATAACAATTCAGTGGCCCCAAATGTATACTGTTGCTAAGGAATTCTGTTTAAGTACATTGCTAAACCTGATACAGCCCTATCATTGTGATAGCAGAGTGGGGACTTGAACTTCCTTTGATAAACAACCCGCAGAATTTACTTTTAAGTTTAAAAGAGGCATATACTACTAACTGCTGACACATCACTAGAGAATGTACACGTACCGGGTGTAGCAACAGAACAGCAGTCACAGTGCCACGTACCACCTAGGCATCTTGGACCTAGCAAGCAGCCACCACCACCACCCCTCCCCTGCCACAGCTAGTGCTCAGGGACCACGTCTGTTGCACTTGATCTCTTTATCAAATTGCTGTCATAGATGGCAAAACCATAAACTTGGAACATCAGCAACCACCAGCATGTTGCCCAAGCCTCTGGCCAAATGCAAATTACAATTGTTTTAATATTTCTTTAGCCCACAGCATTTCTTCCTTCAATCTTTCATTGTCATGAATTTAGCCATTCTTCTATCACCTCAAGTTTACAGAAAGATAGTGTGGCAGGGTGTGGTGACACACTTCTTTGATCCCAGCACTGGAGAAACAGAGAGGCAGAGCAGGGGGATCTCTGTGAGTCTGAGACCAGCCTGGTCTACATAGCAAGTTCTATGCTAGCCAGAGCTACATAGTAAGATCCTGCCTCAAAAGGAAGGAAAAAAAAAAAGATAATGTAAATAAACCCATCTCTCTTTAAATCTTATTGTTTGGTTGTTTTGAGAGACAGAATCTTGCTATATAGCCTGGTCTGTCTTGTTACTATGTAGCCTAGGCTGGCTCTGAATTTGTTGCAATCCTCCTGCCACCAAGTACTGAGATTACAGCTGAGTACCATCAAGCCTGGCTCCTTAAAATCGTCAGTTGAAATAAACTTAATGGACAATTCTTTAAAAATAATAATTCCAATAGTGGAACCCATTTTCTAGGTATTTCAATAATTGCTGCTGACCTGCAAACACAGCTAAGCCCGGAGACCCTCATGGTCAAACCAGACCAAGGCACCTGTTGTGAGATAAACTGTATCTCACAAAAAGGTATGCTGATGTTCTAATCCCTGGTACCTCTGAATAATGTGGAAAGATCTCCAGATGTAATCACATTAAGTTGAAGGCATTCTGGATTAGGATGGACTCTAAATCTGTTTAACACCTTGAAAGAAAGTAAAGACAGGTCTCACAGAGAGGGAGAATGTCATGTGTGGACATAAGCAGAGATCTGAGTGATTTGTCTAAAAGAAAGCCAGAAGAGGAAAGAAAGAGTTCTAATCTAGGCCCTTCCGAGGACACACTGGCCCATCATCCTTCATTTTGGACTCAGCCTCCAGGAACTGTGAAAAGAAATTTCTGTTGTTTTAGCTATGAGTTTGAGGTGCCTTTGTTACATAGCAAGGAAACCAACACAGCACCCGAAAAGATGCGCATTCCAGACTTATCTATCCCAAGACTCTTCTGGATCTACAGGACCCTATCCTGTTACACCTCTGACCACACCAGTCCAGGAATGTCCCTAAACGTCCATATGCTGGGACTGTACTGATCTGAAAAATAGCTGAAAAAACTGGCCCAAATAAAAGTGAAACAATCAGAAAGGACAAAGAAAATTCAGGAAACAGATGAAGTAACTTTTTTCTCCCTTGCCCTCCATAGCTTATTCCTAAAATTATTAAGCAAGTCAGAAATGCTGTGGACCTGTCTTCCACCTCTGTAATGGCAGCTCCATTCTCACATCTGCTCTAGATGAAAACACTTTCCTTCATCTTTGAATCTTCTTTCTTTCACACCCAACCACACAACAAATCCTGACCTTAATGAAGAACCTCCCACAAAGTGTTCTTTCTTCTGGCTCGGCCTCCTCAAGTAGTCAGGGTGCACTTGAAACCCTCCCTCCAATAGCTTTCCTCAGAGCAAAGGCTGCTAAAATAGAACACCATAGACAGAGGAGCTTTTAAACAGAAACATACTGTCAACAGCTGTGCAGGCTTGGAAGTCCCAAGATCAAGGCAGATTAAGGATCTGGTCAGGGCCCACAGTCTGGTTCACAGATAGCATCTCCTCCCTGCGTCCTCACAGGATAGAAGGGTGAACGAATTCCTTGGTCTCTTATAAAGGGCACTAACCCCATTCAAAGGGCTCCACCCCCCAATGATGTAATCACTTCCCAAACCTAGCTCCTTCAGGCCTTTCTCAAGTGTCACCTTATCTGAGAAGGAAAGGTCCATGAAGGCAGAATTTGGTTCTGTCCCAGGATGCATCACAGGGTCTAGAAGAATGGTTGGCATGTAACAGGAGTCTCTTGCTTGTTGAATACAGGGCTATTACTGTGAGACTGTCCTGGGCATGTATCCACTACTCCTTTCTGTTTTCCTTACAACTTGAATAAGTAAGAAACATGTACCAGAGGAAGCAAAGGCCAAAAGCGACCATTCTTCACAATGGCTTTCCTGTCTGGGCACTGCCCCCTAACCTCTTGCCCCTGGATATATTGGACTTACAACTGAAATCTTACTGATGTTGATGGGGATATCAGAGCCTTGATCTCACAAAGCTGGCCCTTAGGCTACAGTAGGTCAACCTATACAACTACAAAACTAATCTTTTCAATTCCCACATTCTAGACTCTGAAATCTTTAAGAAACTTCAGCATCTGGTGTCAGCTTCAAGGCTCCTGTGAACTACACGGGGACAATGGTAGTTTCAGGGGAATGTGGAAGCCACACCTTCCACCAGCAATCCTGGGAAGGCACACACTGGTCCTGCAGCCTCTGTCTCCCTGCTGGCCAGTTTCTGTCAGAACTCCTTCCCTAGCAAGTTCTCCTGTGGCATCAAACCACAAAGTTCTGGCACAGAGGCATTCCGGTGGGATCTTTTGATGAGAATTTCTGAGACTTCCTAAGTAGCTCTGGATGGCTGGGGAGTGACGATGCTGGGGTCGATGCTCATGCTCCCAGGGTTCTTTTTCTGGAGGTAGACTGAGGCTGGCTTTATTCTCATCAGAGGGACAAGACCCTAGAACTTACCCAACATGACACAATCTCCCCAAAAGACATCTTGTGATGCTCTCTACAGATGTTTTCTTGGAAACTTTATTGCTCTTCTAAATTTGTATTACTTTTTTCCTGGTTTTCCTGCTTCACAGAAAATAAGAATTTATGGTTTTATCTTTGTGTGTGTGTGTGTGTGTGTGTGTGTGTAAGGGTAACCTGTCTTTTGGCCCAGGCTGTCCTTGAACTCAGTCCTCCTACCTCAGGTATCCCAAAAGTGCTAGTATTACAGCCATGTACCACCATATCCAGGTAGCAGCAGAGTTTCCCCTCTCTGATCTACTTTTTTTTTTTTTTTCTCCCTTTGGGTCTTTTGAGACAGGGTCTCCCTGTAGCCTCAGCTGGCCTGGAACTCACTATGTAGACCAGGCTGGCCTGGAACTGAGAGAGATCCACTTGCCTCTGCCTCCCAAGTGCTGGGATCAAAGGTGTGCGCCACCACACCTGGCTTGTGATCCTCTACTTTTGTAGAGATTTGACAATATCAGCTTGTTTCCTCACCATGCCTCTCAATTTTTACTTAGCCATAGAACCCTTAAACACGAAAGAAAAACATAAAATGGAGCTTAGGGAGGAGGACA